GTTTCCAGTTCTCTCTCACACAGACTGAGTTGCCAAATTTTAATCCTTGCTTTTAACTCCTGTGCCTGTTTAAATCAGGTGAGGCTTCTTCCTGTGCAAAACCCACACTTGCAATCTATATGCTACTAAAACTCCCATTGTGTTTGTCTGCTGTTTGTTTGCACCCCCAAGTTAGCCCAAACGGTGCATTATACCGCAACAATTTTTGAACCAAGGTACCTAAAATCCACTCACTTAAAGAATGCGTAAAAAATCTGGGACCATTACTCCTATGGAATTGAAAATTCCATGATGTTCAGACCAGTTTTATTTGCAAAGTTGCAGCTGTTGCAGTGTCCGGCGGTCATGTGATCATGATTTCCGATGCTCCCTACCAGCTTCCCACAAGCAATGTCAATGGGAAAGCCAGCAGGAAGTCACTTCTACTCCCACTGCTTTTTTGCCTGCCTGTGGTCATTCTGCTTATCTCTTTAGGTAAGTAAATATTGACTTCTTATTGAAGTTTGTTTGCCACTACAGTTGTTTTTCTATTTATGATATATACTCTACTTAGATGATCACGGGACCATCCTGCATTGGGCTAAAAAACATATGGTCAGCCTAAAATGTAACATTCATTTTGGTCACAGCGGACTGCACTACCTTTCTCTCAAAGGATGGCCCAACAGGTTACAGGGTTGTCTAGCTCTTTATAGACACTTGTAGTGCTATATAGCATATATCACCACTGATATGCTTATATTTAGCACTGATTTCTCAGCACCCTTTCATTTTGTTAATGATGTGTTGGAAAGTATATTTACATCTTCACATCTGAGTGTACTGCTACTTTGGCAACAGTCAGACTATACTGAGGCAATCATACAGAGAATCCCCAGGCCCAGATCTTTTGCCCTGTTACACCACGTAAGTTAGTTGAGGTTTATTGTGGAATATTCTTTTGCATCTGGATATTACAGTGACATTTGAGTTAAAAGTTTATCTAGGGTCAGTTTTTTTAGACTGATAGCAACTCATGTCAGTGAAGCATTAAATGGTAAATTTTGTTAAAATTTTAAACAAGGCCTTTGTATTCCATTTGGTTGTGAACGTTGAAAGAAACTAAGCAGAAATAAGACAGCCTTTTAAAATAAAGTAATCCTGTTGTACAAGGAAGAAACTTTCTGCCTCTAAGAAATACATCCAAATCAAAAACGGGCAGGAGCGTCCAGTTGGTATTCCCATCAATACTTCCCATTGAAAGCAAAAGTCCAACAAGAGATTTTTTTTCAAGGAAACTCCTGGTTGCAACATAGATGGAAATAAGTTCCCCCCACCCCAGGAGTGGTAAAAAACTTCAGGAAGGAGGGGGCTGCTTTGCAGAGATGGAATTCACCTCATTAAGGAGATAAAGTACATCCTTGGACAGTGGCTAGCTAACCTGATCAGGAGGACTTTAAACTAGAATACAAGGGCAGGGATCATCAACCTGTTAGAGTAACAAACTGATAAGTACTGGATTCAATACAGCAGCAAAGTGAAGTGTTTTGGAAATCACTAGTTTAGCATAATGGAAAAAGGAAACTGAATGAAGAAATCTAATACAGTATCTTAAACGTATCCATACTAATGCACAGAGTATCAACTGGATGCCATGAGGCACAAAGGCAAGTTTGCTATAACAGAGATAACAGAAACATGGGGGAATGAATCCCACTAGGGCAGGGTTCCTCAACCTTGGCAACTTTAAGACGGGTGGACTTCAACTTCCAGAATTCCCCCAGCCAGCAAGCTTGCTGGCTGGGG